CATGTAAATAATTCAGTGCATTATCATTGTACAACTGGATATGAGTGTCATCAACACACACATGCTCAGGTTATGTCACAGATGTCCCATTCCTCTTCTACAACAGAGAACGCTGCAAATGAGGGAGTATGAAAGAAACAGAGGGGATTGCTTACTGTCAGGGTGTGAAGGGTTCCTTTCTATTATTGAAGTATAAAGTAGGACTTTATATTTTTAGAGTGGATGGCAGCAGGGTTTGACTGCCTGATTGGGTCTTTACAGCCATCTGTGACCGCAGGGAAATTATTCCCCATTTCCAAAAGCTAAAGCTGGCTATACACCCTTAGATTTATTTTTTGCTTAGACTGTGGGCTGAACAAAAAAAAAAAAAAAAAATCTATTAGATTCCTCTTAATCTTCCACTACACCCATCTATTTGGAAGCAAACGTTGTGTACCTGAAAATTTACCATCTGGTAACTTTAACTTTTCATATGAAGGATGTCGGGAGGGAGAGTGGTGACAGAGCCACCCATGACCCCCCATTTCACACAGTTTATCAAGAACCAAATGAAACATTTGCATAGTGTATGGCCAGCTTTACTGCGATAGCCAGGACCTGCGTGAGCTGAATTTTATAATCCTCTATTGGGGTGCACTTTGCACATATTCCTATACCCTGGGTAGCATGGCCACACTGATGTGGGAAAAAATCTCCTAACTAGGAACTCATTATATTGCCCCCAATGGATGGTTCCGAGAAATAAAAAAAGTACATCAGACAGGTAAGCCAAGGAGTTCAGCCCATACAGTCATGGAGTTAGACTTGGGAATGATATGGATTCACAGACAACAGTAAAGACTAAAAGAAGATGACAATGTAGTCTGCTACATTAGAACTCATTACTTTGGTACTTAGCATTTGACCGTGTGATTTTCTACAGCAACTGGATGCAATTTCTAGTTAAACTACCAATGCCCAAATATACAGACATAGCTTACTTCCATCTTGTATTGTTTAGCAGTAGCCCGTCAGATTAAGAAAGCATTAAAATAATTCTAAAGGGTCCTGTATTGATCCAATGTTGTGCCCGGCTGCAGTTCTTCTCAGGCTTGGGCATCAGTGGGATCCACTGGATCCTGCTGCTTTCAATCAATTCATGTAAGCAGGGGGTGGGACGGAGTTGAGCTGTGTGTGTCCACAGACACACAAACCTCAGCTCGGGAGCACGCCCACACATGTGCCACCATAGTAAGCAGTTTAGTCTTATAGTGACTGTACCCTATCAGAAGCAGTCACTGTTCAGGTATTCAGACAGCCACAGGGCCTGCTGGCTACCAAAAACATTAGCCAGCAGGGAAGATTTCTCCATCCGCGCTGAACAGAAATCTATGTGTATAAAGGCTAGCACTGGGTTGCATGGCCTGTCCAGAGACATTGTAGCCTGTATACTGTTTGGACTAATGTCAGAAAGTTGTGATGATCAGTGCCCTGATGATCGGTGCCCAGCAGTGCCGCCCGCAAGTTCCGCCCACCTGTGCCCAGCAGTGCGCCCACTAGCTCTGCCCACCTGTGCCCAGCAGATCACCCACCTGTGCCCAGCAGTGCACCCACCTGTGCCCAGCAGTGCACCCACCTGTGCCACATCTGTGCCCAGAAGTGCCACCTACCTGTGCCCAGCAGTGCCACCCACCTGTGCCCACCCACCAGTGCTGCCCAACAGTGCAGCCCAGCAGTGCTGCCAGTCAGTGCCCAGGGGTTGTGCCAGTCAGTGCCCAGCAGTGATGCCAGTCAGTGCCGTCTATCAGTACCCATAATCAGTGTCATCTATCGGTGCCGCCTATCAGTGCTGCATATTAGTGCCGCCTATCCGTGACACCTCATTAGTGCTGTCTATCAGTGCCGCCTATCCGTGCCACCTCATTAGTACTGCCTATCAGTGCCCTTTAGTGCTGCCTATCAGTGCCCATCAGTGCTGCCTCATCAACGCACATCAGTGAAGGAGAAAAAATACCTGTTTGAAAAATTTTATAAAAGAAACTTTTTTTTTTTTTCAAAATTTTTGCACTTTTTTTATTTATAGCGCAAAAAGTAAAGCTCCCAGTGGCGATTAAATACCACCAAAAGAAAGCTCTATTTGTGAGAAAAAAATGATCAAAATTTCATATGGGTACAATGTTGCATGACCGCGCAATTGTCAATCAAAGTGCGGCAGCGCTGAAAGCTGAAAATTGGCCTGGTAAATAAGGGGGTATAAGTGCCTGGTAGGCAAGTGATTAAGCTGTGTTAGCAAAACACCTCAAAGCCTTTCATGCTGCATCACCCAAAAGGGAAAGTTCCGCTTTAAGCCTTTGGTACCCGAATTTGACAGGTACCCACTCCCACTTTCGCTGTAATCGGAAGTTGTCCTTCTTCCCCGTAGTATTCTGGGACACGTGACAGGTCCCAGAACACTACAGGGCCATTCACAATGAACAGCGTTCTCGTGCATGAGCAGTGGGAACCCGGCTGTGAAGCAGCAAGCTGTCACAGCCAGATGCCCACACTGAAGATGCCGGCACTGGGGAGAGAAAACGGCCGGTGAAACCAGCGATGGTGGACACTGCTGGACTGAGGGACAGGTAAGTGGCTGTATTTTAAAAGTAAGCAGCTAGTTTTTGTACCTGCTGACATTTTTTTTTTCCCAGGTGGAACTCCGCTTTAAAACTGTATTAAACCCAATACTACTCATTCGAAGTGGTGGCTGCATTAGTTTTCTTTTTTGTCTTTTCCCTCTGTTTTCACCTGGTCATCTGGCCAGTAAGAAACCTTATGTATTAGACTGCCCCCACTCTAGATAAAGGAGCACAAGGAGCACCTTTGGACAGCAGCATTGTCAGTTTGGGGGGAGGTGAGTGTTAGATGTACTAGCAGATTTAAATACACTAACAAATTGAAGCCAAACTCCAGCTAATACTTTAAAAGCAGTTACAGCAACATTTTTTTTCCTTTTGGGCTTTAAGACCGGGCTAATTCTAACACTTTCTGTTTACATTTAAAAAGCAGCATTTTTTGCAAGAAAATTACATAAAGCGGTAGTAAACCACAGGAAAAAACAAAGTCCCCTGCAAGGTAATGTCACAATGTGCTAATAGGCATCGCATACTAGCACATTATGTAAAACTTAGCTTAAAAGAAAAAGCACTCCAGCGGCGTGCTGTCACTGCTGCAGAGGCTTCCATCTTCACCCGGTCTTCCTTCTGGGTTCACAAGCTCTGGCTGTCTGACAGTCCGGGCTACAGTGACGTCACTCCCGTGCATGCGTGCGGGAGTCCTAGGCTACGGCACAGTACTCTGAAAGAACAGCACGGGTATGCCATTCCTTCAGAGCGCATGTGCCGGCTTTAAAAAAAAAAAAAAAAATCTCCTAAACGGTGCACATTTAGGAGATACTCAATTTACCTACAGGTAAGCTTTATTATAGGCTTACCTGCAGGTAAAAGTTAAAACAATTTGTTTACTATCACTTTAAAACCCCAAAACTTTATACCTTTTTAAGCAGAGGCCCTAGAGAATAAAATGGTGGATGTTGCAATTTTTTGTGTCACAGTATGTTCACAGCAGGTTTTTCAAATGCAAGTTTTTTGGGGGAAAAAATCTACTATTATTGTTATCAAAAGGAACATAAATATCCCGTGATAGCAATAGGAACTGACAGGTACACCTTATGGAAAGATCTGGGATCTATTAGACCCCAGATCTCTCCTCTACCCCTGAAAGCTTTGCATCAAACCCAGATCGCTTTGACCTGAAGCTTTCCTTTGCTGGTAATGGACAGTAAACAACCAGCTGAAACTGGAAGTGACTAAATACTCGATTCTGGTTTCGTATATCATAGAAATGATCAGGGACGGTGTGTGGGGAATGATCCCTACCACCACCTTTAAAAGCAATCGAGTGGCTAATTAGCCTGTAGGATGGCTTTTAGAAAAAAAAAAAAGTCACCACTCCTAAAAAACAATACTGGGATGATGCCTATAGCTGCAGGCATCATCCCAGTATACCACTTGAAAGCCGCAACGTAAATATAAGTATTGCGGTCTTCAAGTGGTTAAAGTGATTGTAAAGGTTTATTTTTTTTAAGAAAAAACAATCACCATGCCTATACTTACCTGCTATGTGCAGTGGTTTTGGACAGAGGAGCCTGAATCCTCCTCGGGTCCCGCGCAGGCTCTCCTGGCCCCTACCTCCTGTCTGGTGCCCCCTCAGCAAGAGCTTGCTATGGGGGCACCCACTGTTTTGTGTTTCCTTTCACACGCAGAGCCGAGGCTCACCCCCCTGCCCCCTCTCAGTCAATGAAAAGAGGGAGTTCCGGGATAGCCGAGACAGTGCGCATCGCTGATCGAGGGGAAACTTACGTGAGAATTAGGGGGGCTTCTGCACACAGGAGGTTTTTTACCTTGCATAGAATTCATGAAGATAAAAAACCTTGAGCCTTTACAACCACTTTAAGTCACTGTCTAGAACAAGAATTCAGATCAGGAGTTATGACTTGACTGATTGTATGCTTGTTTCAAGTCCAAGGGTGAAAAAACCAGAGACAGCCCATTAGTGCTTTCAGAAGGATGCTAGGGATAGCAGCCCCTATAGAGCTATCAAAGACAAAGTTGGAGTAACACTTTTTTTTTTATGGTGTATGGCTCTCTGGGCCTGTGTAAATGAGCCATTATGGAAGAAAATGCAGCACTCCAGGCTGCCATGGAGGCTTGTCACATGACTAAATGTTGGCATCTGAAGCAGTTTAGGACACCAAAGCAATGGATTTTCAGGAAAGGTATTTCAGGGGTTCTCCCTCCATTTTGTGCCCTGCTTAGTGTAGTTTGGTTGGGAAGGCATACTATAAGATAGGTCAAGTCTGCGTTTTGGTGAATACCCCATTCAATGGTCAGGTTCATTATCTGGTATATGAACATGTGGTTATGCTCTAGGTCATTACAATATTTGCACAATAAACTTGGCAGAGGTCAGATGTAAATGTAACATTATTTGATAAGTCCAACCATAACTTCACTGATATCCCCACAGTTTTCTAGCCACTAGATCATCCGTAGCTTTTGGCAGGAGTTCTTCCTCTTTGCAATTACCAAAATATTTCCCAGATATCCCCTCTATATCTGGTGAGGCAGCCAAATAGACAGATGTTTGCGCTCCTTCCTCTGGAGTTTTAAAGAAAGCCCAGGAGACAGCATGAAATACGGGTTTTATCAAAGTGGGGATATTGATGTGTCTTCCTAGATTGGTCCGGACTATTCCAGGGTGGAGAGAATTGACAGTGACTCCAGTGCCCTCCAAACGCCTCGCCAGCTCTCTAGTGAACAAGATGTTGGCCAGCTTGCTGCGACTGTAGCCAAAGCTTCGGCTATAGCTCTTCTCGCTGTTCAAATCATCAAAGTTGATTTCACCATATTTATAAAGCTTGGAGGAGACAACCACAATCCTACTTGGGGCAGAGCTTTTCAGAAGGCCAAGGAGCAAATGAGTGAGGAGAAAGTGACCTAGGTGGTTGACCCCAAATTGCATTTCAAAGCCATCCTCAGTTTTCATGTAAGGGCACTGAAAGATTCCAGCATTGTTGATGAGGACATCAAGATGAGGTTCTTCCTGGAAAATAAGAACAATAAAAACTTAGATACATCAGTTTTCATATATTACAACAAAATGTGTGGTTATTAGTGGCTATCCTGCATTAATGTCATCCTGTCACTGCCCATTTATAGCCCAACTCTAGGCAAAAGCTTCCTCCTAAGCCATCCCACAGTGTGGATCAAAGTCACAGTTTCCTCTATGAGCCAACTCAATTTCTTGAGGAAAATTTCCCTTCAGTTCCTGTCCCAAAGACACAACAGGAAGTTAGAAGAAATCTCCCAAAGGGGGGGGAATTCCCCTCCTATACAAGTGTCTATGGAACAGGTGTCCCCCTTTGGCAGATTTCCCCTGGCTTCATTTCTTGATGACAATGGTCACTAGAACAAATGGAAGGCGAATCTCCCTGGTAGAGACACAGCGATAACAACCTGACAGAAAATCTCACCCTTCCCTACTCTAACCAAAAACTGAAAATAGAATTTTGCCTAATATGCCCTTTAAGCACTTGCCTACTGGGCACTTTTACCCCTGTCATGCCCAGGCCAATTTTCAGTTTTCATCGTTGTCGCACTTTGAATGACAATTGCGCAGTCATGCAACACTGCATCCATATGAAATTTTTATCTTTTCACACAAATAGAGCTTTCTTTTATAAATATAAATTAAACAGCGCAAAATTAGACCACTAAACAAATATTAAATGAAAAATACTCTTAAATTAAATCACAAAATAGAAATGTCCACTTATAATAGGTGAATATCTTGTATCATACATCTTTCTCCAAAAAATAAACACCACAGGACCGTGTGTGATGAAGACTGGGGATTCCAAACAATCTTAACAAAAAAACTTCCACCTTCCACCCGTGCACACCAACATCAAATGCACTCACCAGATATTGGTGAATGAGAAGCCTTTAGGGATTTTTTAGGGATCCTAAAACCCTCTTATCAGCTTTATCGTATCCTTACATCACCAGATTATGATCTTCTTTCAGGTCCCCACCACAGCTCTCTAAATTGCTCCACCGTGTCAACAAGGAAAAAAAATCTTATATAGTGTAATATTGCCAGATCAATGGTAAAAGACAAAATCCAGGCCACTCACATTTTACCAACTTGTAAAAGGCACATTTATTAAACCAGTACCAGCCTGATGATAACGACCATCTCACAGCCCCATAATCCAGGATTCTCACAGCAAATGTAACCAGATGGAACAGAGGATCAGCAAAGAGTTCAGCATAAATCCCAAAAATGGCCGCTGGAACGCACCGCCCGGCATGCGCTCCACTCACTGGAAGTGATGTCAGATGTATGGAGTATGAATCGGAAATGCGTCAACGCGTTTCACCCCTTCAAGAAAACGCCCGGTGGGAGGGGCGAAACGCGTTGACGCATTTCCGGTTCATACTCCATACGTCTGACGTTACTTTCAGCGAGTGGAGCGCACGCCGAGCGGTGCGTTCCAGCGGCCATTTTTGGGATTTATGCTGAATTCTTTGCTGATCCTCTGTTCCATCTGGTTACATTTGCTGTGAGAATCCTGGATTATGGGGCTGTGAGATGGTCGTTATCATCAGGCTGGTACTGGTTTAATAAATGTGCCTTTTACAAGTTGGTAAAATGTGAGTGGCCTGGATTTTGTCTTTTACCATTGATCTGGCAATATTACACTATATAAGATTTTTTTCCTTGTTGACACGGTGGAGCAATTTAGAGAGCTGTGGTGGGGACCTGAAAGAAGATCATAATCTGGTGATGTAAGGATACGATAAAGCTGATAAGAGGGTTTTAGGATCCCTAAAAAATCCCTAAAGGCTTCTCATTCACCAATATCTGGTGAGTGCATTTGATGTTGGTGTGCACGGGTGGAAGGTGGAAGTTTTTTTGTTCTTAAGATTGTTTGGAATCCCCAGTCTTCATCACACACGGTCCTGTGGTGTTTATTTTTTGCAGAAAGATGTATGATACGAGATATTCACCTATTACAAGTGGACATTTATATTTTGTGATTTAATTTAAGAGTATTATTCATTTAATATTTATTTAGTGGTCTAATTTTGTGCTGTTTAATTTATATTTATCACTGTTTGCGTTTTCACATTGTACAGCAGCAATATTGGATCAGTATTAGTTTTGTATTGGCGCAGGAATATTTTTTCTCTTTAGAGCTTTCTTTTGGTGGTATTTAATCGCCACTGGGGTTTTTATTTTTTGTGTTGTAAACAAAAAAAGAGAAGAAATTGAAAAAAAAAAAGTTTTTCTTTGTTTCTATTATACAATTTTGCAAACTGGTAATTTTTCTCCTTCACTGATGTGCATTGATGAGGCTGCACTGATAGGCAACATTGATGAGGTGGCACGGATAGACGGCACTGATAGGAGGCACTGATGAGCTAGCACTGATGATGCTGAACTGCTGGGCACAGGTGGGCGGCACTGATCATCAGTGCCAATCACATCTCTGATAATTACCAGTTATCAGCAGTTCTTTCCTCATGCTGTGACAGCGTGAGGAAAGTGTAGCAGATAAACGGCAACTGTATTTACTAGGTGATCTGCTGTGTCATTGGACACTGCTGATCCTGTGGTAAAAGGTCGCCATGATTGGCCGTTTACCATATCATGTGATCAGCTGTGTCCTTAAGGTGCGGGGTGCGTGTTCTGGAATGACGTCCATGGACGTCGTCCCAGAACCAGGCAATCGCGATGTAGTCGTCCTTCGGCTATAGCGCGGTAGGGAACTGGTTAAAGCACAGGACAGTTCACTATATATTAGATCAGTGGTCTCCAAACTGCGTCCCTGGGGCCAGATATGGCCCTTTGCTTGCCTTTACCCGCTCTTGAGGCCCTATTCCATCCTTGACACCAATGATGGGGCACCAATCCTCCCACTGACACCATTGAGGGAGCACCATTCCTCCCACTGACAACAGTGGTGGAGAACTATTCCTCTCCCAATGGTGGGACACTACTCCCACTAAGGCCTGGGTGTTTTCCACTTCCACTGGCCACAGTCCAGCCCCCCTAAAGTCTGAAGGACAGTAAACTGGAACTTAAGAAAGTTTGGAGACCCCTGTATTAGATTAACCACTTCAGCTCTGGAATTTTTTTCCTTTCATGACCAGGCCATTTTTTTGATATACCGCACTACGCTAATTTAACTGGTAATTGCGTTGGTATATTGATTGGTATATTAATTGCGTTGGTGGTATTTGATCAGCACTGGGTTTATTTTTTGCGAAACAAAAAAGACTGGAAATAAAAACAATATTTTTGACTTTATGCTATAGAAAATATTCAATAAAAAAACAAATTTCAATCAAGTGTACATTGATTGGTTTGCATGAAAGTTATAGTGTCTACAAACTGGTGGCGATCAGCGACTTATAAAGGGACTGAGTGAGTGCAGAGGGCAATCTGACACTAACTGACACCACAAGTGACATTAATACAATGATCAGTAAATATTATGCACTGTCACTGTACTAATGACACTGGGTGGGAAGGGGTTAGCATCTACGGCGATCAAGGGGATAAATGTGTGCCTAATTATATGTAATGTGTATACAGTGTGCTGCTTTTACTAACTGATCTCTCACCGCATTCCCACTCCAATTATGTGACCAGTTCTAAAGAGGAAGCTGAAACATTGCACAAGCTGAACTTGTACACTGGCCCATGGATCTTACGTCACTAGAAGATGGATTTGTATACACAGAAGATCTCTGTAATGTAACAACAAGAAATCAGAACCTGTCAGGCTGCAATTTTGTGTGCATTCACATACCAAGCAAAAAAACGCTTCTCATGGTTAGGGTACATGCACAATGGACGTTTTTTTTTCTGGCAGAGAAAAAAAACAAAAAACCCTTGACGCTGGTAAACGTGTGTACTGTATTTACCTACGTCAAACGCCGGGGAATTTATTCATTTCATTGACCAGAATAAAAAGGTTATTTAGGCCACTGAAATTAAAAGCCCAAGCGATATAAGTGCCTAAGTGTTAACTAGTGCCTAGCGTCTTCTCCTGAAAGCGATTCTTCTGCGTTCAGGAGAGGAGCATTTTACTGCTTTTAACCGCTTCTCATCCGCCCTATAGCAGATATAGTGCTACAGGGCAGCACGGGTACGCAAAATCACGTACATATACATTATTTTGCATTTCCGGGTAGAGGGCGCGTGCCCACCCTACCCGCGCCACCGTTCGCGGCTGTCAATCACCTTGTCCTGGCTGCTGACTGCCGAGCATCTCTGACGGGGGTAGAACTGTTTGTAAACAAAACAGTTCTCTCTCCTGTCAGCTCCTGCACACTGCTTTGCATGGCTGTGCATAGCTGCTAACTTTTAAAAAACAGCCACTTACCTGTTCCTCGGTCCCATGGTGTCCTCCCCGCAGCCCGTTTCACCAGAAGTCCTGTGTTCATGGCGCCGGCATCTTCAGTGTAGGCATCCAGCTGTGACAGCTTGCGGCTTCCCAGCTGGGTGCCCGCTGCGCATGGGCGAGTAGCACTGCGCTTTGTAAATGGTCCTGTATTCTTCTGGAACCTGTCATGTGTCCCAGAAGACTACAGGGAGGGAGGGAGGGAGGGAGGGAGGGAGGGGGGGGGGGGGGGGGGGGGTGGAGGACATCTTCCTCTTCCAATCGACTAGGCAATCACAGCGGAAGTGGGAACCTGTCAATTTTGGGTACCTGCTCCTCAAAGCTGCTAATCCTTAATGAGGCGTGGGCGATTAGTTCTTAAAGTGGAACTTCCCCTTTTGGGTGGAGCTCCACTTTAAATGTTAGTAAACGTTTCTTTAACCTCACTGGCGGTATTCCCGAGTGTAGCTCGGTGTAAAATTTCAGCACCAAGAGCAGTAACCCCGAGCTACACTCGGGCTTACCATGTGGCGTTGCTCAGGGAGTCCCTGCAGTGCTTACCTTGTCCTTTGCTCCCACGATGTTTCCCCTGCAGCATCCCCAGCCATCTCCTCCGGCTGATGCCGACATCCGTGTTCCGGTCCCTGTGGCGTCGGGACATACGGGCGCCAGAACCGGTGGCAAATTTAAAATTTTTAAAAAATTTCATTTTTTTAAAAACGATTATTACATAGTAAAACATTGCTGTTTCAAAGCATTTCACATACATTTTGTCCCTACTGCTTTGTCCTGTGCCCTGCCTGCATTTTGACTGTTCTTTCTGCCTAGAAACTGAGAAATGTCCATGGCTTCCAAAAAGCGTCCCTTTATGTCAAAAGCGGTTTTAGACCGGCTAGAGAACAGCGATAGTAAATTAGAACTACTTGCAGAATTGAGTGATAATGATTTGTGGGGAAATTTGTCATCAGACACTGAAAACGATTCTGCGACTTTGCTCAGCGATGTGCGAATTTACCTCTGTATTTCAAATTTCAGTGTTTTTGGTTTGATTATATTATTGAATTAGATGTATTATTATATTATTATTTTTTATGATTATTTATTAAATTATAATTTATGATTTCGTGTTTCAAGTTTTATCCTACCCGGGTTTACTAGACTCTTGTTCGGACAGATTTCAGCGAGTTATTCCTAAAAATTACAGCCTACAATAAAAAAAAACTACATATTTCCATGCAAAAAAATGGTACCGCTTTCAGCACCAAAAATTGGAAATAATCATACCCCCAGGGAGGTTAACCCCTTCACGCCTAAGGGTAAAACAAATCTAAATGCCTAAGCACAATTCTGCAACGTTGACATGTGATAGTAAAACCGTACATATCATCACAACTACTTTGTACATCAAGATGGATTATACCTTGATTTGTTCAGGACAAATTGGGCTTTCATTTGGTGGTAACTGGTAATGGATATCTCCTGATTTTTTTTTTTATTATCGAAGGAAAACTAGCCCAAAATAGTAAAAAAATATTTTTTTTTTTTTTATTTAGCTGTGTGTTTCTTCTAACGACCATAACCTACCACCAAAAAACAACCCAAAATAAATTCTCCAGCTCTTGACGATCGCAGCGATACCATATATGTGTACGTTATTTGTTGTTTGTACTCGTAGTACAGCCCAGGAACAATAGTGCGCATTTTGTTTTTGTCTTTTTTTTTTTACCTAAAACACACTAACATTAACACTAACTGACACTGATACCAATTGTTTTTTTTTAAATCCTGACCTTTGACCCTGACCTAAACACTAACCATGGCACTGAACTAGATCAAACTTTGATCTAGGTATTTTTATTTATTTTTTCATATTTATTTATCTTTTTTTTTTTTTTCACAAACATTTTTTTTTCCTCTCTATGCCAGGAGTTAGAGAAACAATGTATCTCTCTTCTCCATTCATAGAGAGAGAAAAAACAAGGGGGCCGGGCTGTACAGTGACTGATCACTGTGATAGCCAATCAGAGGCTATCACAGCGATCATGTGACCCAGGACCCGGTGCTCAGTGACACCGCGCGCGGTCTTTGTGCTGGGAGCGGTCAGTGCGGCGCGCTCCCAGCACAAAGACAGGTACACAAATATGCGGCCCCACAGAAAAAAAGCCCAGTTCTGTGAGGCCGCATATTTGTGTGACGTCGGCAGGAAGGGGTTATGGACCAGTTCACACAAAAAGAAGCGCAGTTCAGATGCATTCCAGTGCATTTTTTATGCGTTTTACCGTGTTCCAGTACAGTTCTGTGCAGCCTGTTCTACTTTTTTTTCTGCAACCAGAACGTGCTGAAACTGCAAGCACTGATGTGAACTATGACATTGACAACCATATCACTTACGTTTTGGATGCAAAAAAAAAAAAAGCAACTGAAACGCATATAGTGTGAACTGACCCTAATACTTTTACCTACAAGTAATCTCAGCTGTAGGTAAAATGCATATCTCTGTGCCCCATTTAGGAGATATTTGCTCTTTTTGATAGCCGGCACATGCACTCTAAAGGAATGTCATACTTGTGCCATTCCTTCAGAACACTGTGCCGTAGCCCGGGACTCCCATGTGGGAGTGACGTCATCGGGGCTCGGCCAGTCTGCCAGCTGTAGCTCGCAAACCCAGAAGGAAGACCGGGTGAAGATGGAAGCCTCTGAAGCTGCAGCTGGGACAACACGCCACTGGAGGGCTTCGTTTTAAGGCAAGTCCTTCATTAACGTGCTAGAATGCGATACATACTAGCACATTATGCCTTTACCTTGCAGGGGATTTTTTTTTATGGATGTGGTTTACTTGGCCCTCTCTCTTAGATTGTAAGGTCCAAGGAGCAGGGCCCTCCTAACCCTCTTGTATTGTTGCTGTATTGTCTCCCGTTATATTGTAAAGTGCTGAGCAAACTGTTAACGCTATATAAATCTTGTATAATAATAATGACTACTGCTGTGAGTAGCACAGTGCTGAAGAGCAAAAAAAAAGCCTGCTCAAGAAGGGAGTAAAATCTGCCAGAGCTCAGGTGATTAATACCCAAAAAGCAGGTCACAAATGCTTAGCATTTACTTGCAGAGAAGTACCATGCGATCCGGTTACAGTGCCTTCAGCAGTAGGACATGAACTACTTTTGGTGTGGTACAGTGAGGTCTGATCAAAATGAATGGGCTCCAATGGCACCGTAGTGAATCGCACAGCATGCTCCTATGTGTTTCCTAGTGCACACTGGCAGGCAAAGTCGCACTACAAAAACCATTGAAAAACACAATCATGTAACAGCACTACAGCAGACCCATGTTAAGGGTTCTTCATCCGTGGTTTAGCGGGAATGATTTTTGGGGGTGTATGTCTGCGAGTCGCTCATAGGGTGGCCCATGTATGCGCTGCTCTGAGCGGGTCTGGACTGCAATAGGAACTTGTGTAAGTTTTGGGGTGAAGTTTTGTACAGGTTTGATACGGGCAGAATCACACCGCAATGGGCGGCCATCAAGAATGAACAGGCGGCGCGTAGTGTGCTGTGATTTGGAACGGCGGGCAGAATTGCGATTCCAAATCGCTTGCTGTGAATGGGGCCCAGCAGACAGATGGAGGAATAGTCTGCTGTACTTGTCCCACACTGATGGCGGATGATGCTCTGCAGGCTGCAATGCACACGTTTTGTTGTGGACTGTTCCTTTAAATGTTTATAATCGGGGGGGGGGGTGTCCTGTATACCCCGGTACCGGGGGTCCCCGGGCTCCTCCTACCTTCAGCACCTCCTGGCAGAAGCGGCGAACGGAGCGGAGCGAGCTCAGGTCCAGCTCCTTCACTACGATCTCCCCGTGGTCGCCGGTCTCCAGCCGGAGCTCCCGGGCCGCCTCCTCCGCCCTCCCTCGGTCTCTGCAGGCCAGGATCACGCGGGCCTGTCTCCGCAGAAGCTCGGCCGCCGTGGCCTTGCCGATGCCGCAGTTGGCCCCGGTGATGATCACCGTCTTGCCCCGCATCAGGGCGGACGCCGCGGCCCGCACGTTGCTGCTCATTAGTCGCCGAAGTACCAGGATGATCCCGCCGCCAAGAGCCGCCGCTAGCAGCAGCGAGGAGGAGCTGAGCGCCATGTCAGGTGTGGGCAGAGGCCTGGCAACGGAGGGCACTCCCAGAGGACGGAGGGGGAGGGGACACAACACCTGGATGGGGCGACCAGCGATGAGAACTCTGCAGGGCCAGGAGCGGACTGACAACTCATGGGGCCCCCGGGCAATAGGGGATCATGGGGCCCCTGTGTCCTTGCCCAAACTCAAAAAAGCCTATGAAAAAGGTACCAGGGGCATCTCATGCGGCCCCCTACTGACCTCGGGCAGTGCCTGAGTTTCCAAATAGTCAGTCCGCCCCTGAATGTGAGTTTAGTATTTGGTGATTGTAAGCCGGTATTTTCTATTTTTCTCAATTCTTTGAGAATAATAAGCAGCTGAGAACCACTCTATTCTGCAGCTCCCACTAAATTCTAAGCCTTATACAAAGTATTCACAAGCAACCCGTAATTGCCACTGGGGCCATTTTTAATTGGAAATATTAGTTACCAGCTTAGAATAGGAGCCTTTATCTTTCTTGCACTGCATTATAGTTCACTAACGCCTCTATAGCAGGGGCGGACTAAACATTTGGGAACTCGGGCACTGCCCGGGGTCAGTAGGGGGCCATGAGATGCCCCTGGTACCTTTCATAGGCTTTTTTGGGTGTGGTGAGTGTGGGCGAGGACACGGCCCCATGATCCCCTATTGCCCGGGGCCCCATGAGTTGTCTGTCTGCCTCTGCTCTATAGTTCACATTATTATTATTATATAGGACCCTGGTGTTTCTCCACTTTACAGGGCCCTAGAAAGGGGTATACTGGGACCCTTGTCCTTTATGCTGTATCCAGCAGTAGGTGTTTTTTGTCAGTAAACTCAGTGAGGGTTGGAGGAGCCACAAGAAAGACACGTCTGGAAATGGAAATACATTTACATAATATAGAAGGGTGCTGGGAGAGTCGGACCCTTTATGCTGTCTTGTATGGTCCAGAGTATGTTGGGATTTCACTGGGCTGATGAGATAAGCAGATTTTGTGTAGCCTGTGGGGACTGCAAGTGCCAGCATGCCTTTGGGTGACAGGACAGCTGGAGCAGAGCAGGGTACCTTGTATAGCCAATCATCATCTCTGTGCAGTGCGGTAGTGCAGTTAGTGTTATCATAGGCTCCTGCTTAAACGAGTCTTCTAGTCATAGTGGCACTTGTCATTTTATTTTGCCAAAATAAATTTCCTTACTCTTACACATTGAATATACTGAATTTTCATATATGATGTTTTTAAAGTGTTAAAATAAAAGTAGGTGCATTGAAGGACCTGGTGAGATGGGCAGACTTGGTGGGACAGCCAGTAGATGGGACTCTGGAGTGTTGGGTAGGTGTGAGGCCCAGGCCTAAAGCTGTTGAACCACTATCCTACAGGGCACTTATACCCCCTTCTTGCCCAGGCCAATTTCCAGCTTTCAGCGCTGTCACACTTTGAATGACAATTGCAGTCATACAACACTGTACCCCCATATGAAATTTTAGCATTTTTTTGAGACAGAGCTTTATTTTGGTGGTATTTAATCACCTCTGGGTTTTTTATTTTTTCTTAAACCAAAAACCACTGAAAATTTTGAAAAAAAAAAACGTTTTTTGTTAGTGTTTGTTATAAAATTTTGTAAATAAGTGATTTTTCTCCTTCACTGATGTGCGCTAATGAGGCTGTAGTGATGGGCACTGATAGGCTGCACTGCTGGACACTGATGAGGCACTGGTAGGTGGCACTGATGGGCATTGACAGGCATCACTGATGGGCACTGAAAGGCAGCACTCATAGGTGGCACTGACTGGCACTGTTAGGCGTCACAGATGCACACAGATAGGCGTCACTGACTGGCACAGATAGGCGGCACTGACTGGCATTGATAGGTGCCACTGATGGGTGACACTGAAAGGCAGCTCAGATGGGCACTGATATGTGGCATTGATGTGCACTGGTAGGCACTGAAAAGTGGCACTGATGGGTACTGGCAGGAGGCATGGATGAGCACTGATGGACACTGACAGGTGGCACTGCTGGGGCTACACAGATGATCAGGGCACATGTCCCCTCTGAGGAATGCCGATTACTGGCTCTCCTCTCGAGCTGTCAGCATGACAGCTCGTGAGGAGAGAAATGCCGATAACCGGCATTTCCCTGTTTACATGTGATCAGCTGTGATTGTACACAGCTGATCACATGACCGAGCCGATATCTTTGGCTCTTTCCATTGATCGGTGATCCGCTGTTTCCGAGGGACACAGCATGCTGCTGATCGCTGCACTGAACGCTCCTGGAGCCGCGCATGCGCGGTTAGAATGGGAGGACGTCATATGACGTACTCCCAAAACGAGAGAACCACCTTGCGCCCGTCATTGTACTATATGGCGGGTGGGAGGTGGTTAAGTGGCCCCAAAACTTCTGATAGCTAATGCTTCTAATAAGAACCTGTAGGGTGCAATACAGAGAACTAAGCACTTTATCGACGAGAGCTTTAAGTGTGATCTAGCCCAAACAGAATAACAAGGTGACTCAGTAGGCTCAAATAAACAATTAGCTAAAAAAAAAAAAAAAAAAAAAAAAAAACTACTACCCACCCGTGACTAAGAACAATTCATGTGTGAGCCTGGTTAAGCCAATCACCAATATATTTTCTCATATTATGGTCTGTAGCATCTTTATAAAATGTTTGACATGCTTCTACAATAACAAAAAACAAACCTCAAATAATCAAATATATGATATGTAATAAAAAAACTTGTTAAGAAATGGGGAGGTCCATAGCACGGGAGAGATCAGTCAAATATATATTTCACTTCCGTACCAAAAAGAAAGGCTGTTAGTGTCTTGGAACTTAACACTCCATATACTATTTCAAAAACAAAGCAATATAAGCATCCCATTGCTCTAAGATTTCCAAGACACTTCGCCTAAGTGCAATACAACAATACATTTAATAAATATAACAAATCACCAAAAAATTCATATAAGTAAATACCTCCATATAAATAAATATAAACAGTAATGTTTATAGGTTCACAGTACTGGTAATAGGTCATGATAGAACTTCGTGATAATTGTCATTTTCACATACAACGTGACTCCAAAAGCTGTGTTCTATCAGATGGATTAGGGACAGTAGAACAAGGGGAGGATCAGAGAAGACAGGATCAAACATACTTTTTTCACAATATAAGTATTAACCCCTTAGGTTCCACAGTGAGTAATAAACAAGCATGCTTTACTTCATATACAGACTGATTTTACTGTTGTGGGTTTAGTAACACTAAATGATTCAGATCATCACACAAGTGTTATTACACAAAGGTATCCTGCGTAAATACAAAATGCAGATTTTTAAATGAGGATTTCATTTATTAAAGGGAAAAAAACTGTCCAATTCTGCCTGGCCCTATGTGAAAAAGTAATTGCCTCCTAAACCTGATAACTGGTTGTGCCACCCTTGGAGAACCTGCGGAGGACCTGAGAAATGGAAGATCTGGGCTGCTCCGTGCAAAACCACCACACACAGCAGGTAAGTAGAGACATGTTTTGTTTGTTTTTTTAATTCAAGTCTTTAGAATCGCTTTAAGTCCAGACTTTGACTAGGCCACTTGAAAACCTTAATTTTCAACATTTAACGGAGGGGGATACAACATACACGAGGGGGAGTGCATAATATAACTGGGGGGGGAGGGTGCATGTTACATATAACTTGTGGGGGGGGGGTGCAACATTTAACTGGGGGGGGGGGGAATGCAACATACACGGAAGGAAGTGCAACCAGAAGGGTGGGGTGTGCACACTACATATAACTGGGGAGGGCCATGGGATGGCAACATAATAACTGGCGGGGGGGGTGTGTGCAACATAATAGCTGGGGGGTAACATATAACTGGGGGGGTACAACACACACAGGGGGAAGGGCAACATATAACTGTGGGGGGGGTTCAAATACACTGGGGGGAAGTGCAACATAAATAAACTAGACAGGGGGGGTAACATATAACTGGGGGGTGGGGTTGCAACATACACAGGGGAAGGGCAACATAACTGTGGGAGGATAGGGTTCAAGATACAAAGGTACACACATCATATGCTTGGGGGAAGTACAACAAGGAAGTAACTTGGGTGTGGGGCAACAAGTACACTGAGGTGGGGGTGCAATATGTAAGGAGGGATGTGCGTGTGGCAAGATATAAGGGGGGTGGACACATATACAGGGTGTTATTGTAGGGGGAATGTGGGTGAGCAGATCTCTCCTTCTGTTACAAAGGCTGATAGTTGACAAGAGAGACACATGCTGCTGGCATGAGGATCCCCTAATGTTGCCCTCACATCATGAATGGGGGGTGACACAGTTTTGGCCTCTTTGCCCTGAGCATTGAGTGACCTTGTCCCAGCACTGCCCGCCTGCCACATCATTTCACACGAGTGGCTCACCCCTGCTCTGCACATGCTCAGGTTGCTCTCCTTTTCAGCACTGTGCTGAAAAATCAGCCACTAGAAGTCAGTCTGCTGACAGGCCCTAAAGATTTACTGCTGCTCAGGGGGCTCTGGGCTTCAGCAAATGTCAGCCTCCAGCAAGAAGAAACAGCAAATTTACAACACTCACTAATTTGGTAGCAAAAACAATTATTATTGTAGAATGTATGTTTCTTGCTAAAGAACAATATTTTGTATCGTGTTGTTATGGGCAAAGTTTCCACTAATCTCAAGGAGAATTTTGTATTAAAAATACAGCACCTGCAAGCTAAGCGTTGGGCTCATGGTTGTGGTGTGCTCCCATAGACCGAAGGCCCATTCACCACTACAACGCATATGAAAACATGCCTGAAGTCAGTTACACTTCTGCGTTTGTGCGTTTTTCTGCATACAGTTGTGTCCAAAATTATTCAACCCCCAATGCTGTAAAGGGTTTTAGGGACTATAGTGTACATTTGGAATTGTATTCAGAATCAAATCCTACAAGGACGTTGTAACTAACCCAAATGCAACTAAAATGACATCAATTTGTTTATGTAATACAGTAGTAAAATGGTTCTTATGTGGTTTCTTCATTGCCACAATTATTCAACCCCTTAAAGACTACCACTCTGAAGAACAGAGGTTCATACAGGTGCTTTCCATCAGGTATTGAAAACACCTGTGGATGTCACCGAGCAGCAATCAAGCATAATAAGCACCAATTAGGCAGCTTTAAAATGACTGTGATACTCAGCTCCTTCTAGACATTTACTGGTGTGGTTACAAACATGGTGAAGGCAAGAGAATGGTCCAGGAAGACAAGAGAAGAGGTGATTTCTCTTCACAGGAAGGGCAATGGCTATAAGAAGATTGCAAAGATGTTAAACATACCAAGAGACACCTTAGGAAGCATCATTCGCAAATTCAAGCAAAGGGCACTGTTGAAACGCTACCTGGTCGTGGCAGAAAGAAGATGCTGACTTCGACTGCTGTGCGCTACCTGAAGCGTAGAGTGGAGAGAAGTCCCCGTGTGACTGCTGAGAACTGAGAAAAGATTTGTCAGATGTGGGTACAGAAGTTTCAGCCCAGACAATAAGACGCACCACTGCGTAATGAAGGCCTCCGTGCCAGAACTCCCAGGCGTACCCCCTTGCTGTCTCCAAAGAATAAGAAGAGTCGACTGCAGTAATGCCAAAAGCCATGTGGACAAACCACAAAAGTTGTGGGATAGTGTTCTGTGGACTGATGAAACAAAATTAGAACTGTTTGGGCCCATGGATCAACGCTATGTTTGGAGGAGGAAGAACAAGGCCTATGATGAAAAGAACACCATTGCCTACTGTGAAGCATGGTGGAGGGTCAATCATGCTTTGGGGCTGTTTGCTTTCTGCAGGTACAGGGAAGCTTCAGCGTGTGCAAGGTACCATGAATTCTCTTCAGTACCAGGAGATATTGGATGGAAACGTGATGCAGTCCGTCACACACCTGAGGCTTGGGAGACGTTGGACCTTTCAACAGGACAATGATCCCAAGCATACCTCCAAGTCCACTAGAGCATGGTTGCAGAGGAAAGGCTGGAACATTTTGGAGTGGCCATCGCAGTCACCAGACTTAAATCCGATTGAGAACCTCTGGTGGGACTTAAAGAAAGCATTGATGCAGTGCGCAAGCCTAAGAATGTGACAAGGAAGGGGGGAACTGAGGCCTGGAGGAGACGAAGGGGAGAAGGAGGGAGAGTTGCCCATGAAGAATGGGCGAAGATACCCGTAGATCGCTGCAAGACACTTTGTGTCAAGCTATGCTTCACGTTTAAAAGCTGTTATAACTGTAAAAGGATGCTGTACTAAGTACTAAGATTGAATGTCACTTGGGGTTGAATAAAACTGATAATGCTGTGAGCACAGAAAAGACCATTTGTGGTTATTTTCATTATAACTGTTTATGTTTTAACATTTTGTCTGACCTACAAGTGCCTCTTTAATGTAAATGTAAGCAAAAGATGACTGAATGATCAAAAAGCAATGTCAAACTGGCCAAAAACACTCAATTTTCAGTGGGGGTTGAATAATTTTTGGACACAACTGTAGTTCTCTTCGGACCTCATTGTTGTGGGTGAGAAGTGTGTTTGTGTGAAATTTATACATGTTTCTGTGTGTTGGGGTTCGATGATATGCAATCGTGTTGCATACAAATCGCACAACTCTGCAATGCGAGAAACACAGCACTCTAGTGTGAACTGACACATGGAAAACTGTTTTCTTTGTGTGATTGCAGTTATTTTCCTGTGGATGAATGCAGGTGACGGCCTGCACATAGTGTGACTGGGACCTTTATGGGTGCGTTTGGTGGGATATAGACGTATATTGCCTCCTGTCAAACACTGCAAGCCATGCTAAAATAGCCGTGGGCGCGGCATGTGGCTGCAATAGTAGAATTTAGCTGGAAGTGAAACCTGGACTTGACTGTCCGTAATTTCCTTGAGCACAGTGACCCAGTGCCAGGATAAGGTTACCTAGAGCCCAGGGTGAGCAAGCCAAATTGTGCCCCCCCCCCAGGATCTATGAGCATTATATCTCAGCAAAAAACTCCCCCCCCCCCAAAAAAAAATTAAAAAAATTAAGCACTAATCTACATACCTACCCCTAAGCATACATTCCCCTCCTCCCAGTACAAATCCACCCCCTACTGAACCCCCCCCCCACCCAACATAAAATCCCCCCATCCACCCAGCTCAAATCCTCTCTCTCCACAGATGCCCCCGCACAAATCCCCTC